ATATATATAATATGTAATAAAATGGACATGTATTTTGAAATTTGGCTTCCATTTATTTCATTTGATTCTTCCAACGTGCCGTTAGTTCGTGAAGTAATTTCCGGAGAAACGATCATGAATCTAAAAAACAATATTTTAATTTATTTCAAAAAAATAAAAATCACAATTCTTAAATTTTCTGATGTATTCAGAGTACATCCATATTTTTCGAAGTCTAATAATTTCTCTGAACTTGTGAACCTGTCATCTATAACTTATGCATGATGAAATTAAACTTTTCAAAAACCGTCAAATTAACAGTTCTCTATCAAAATTTCAGGCAATTTGGATCTTTAGAAGAGTATGAAATGAATCTTGGTAAAACAGGTAGCTTCGATGGCCTCTTTCTTTCTTCGTCGGTATAATATACACATATATACCCTGTAGCTATTTCTACAGCTTTATCGACCGATCCTTTGTGTAGCGGCGGTTGGAGGGTTCCACACTGTCTTGAAAGATGACACTGGGGTGATGTTTCATTCGAGTTTTTCTTTTTTTCTCAGCAGTATAATTTATATTTAAAGCCAATAAACCACTTAAGTTTTTTTTCTATTTTTTCATCCGCGTCGACTCGGAAACTGTTGATATTATTTCTGTACGTGTCCGATTTCGCCCGAGAATGACATTTCTTGATAAAATCGTTAGCTCTAAAATATCATTGATCGTTCCGGAACAATCATATGTTTAAGTACACCGTAAAAGGGATAACTCGATGCGAAGGTACATATACAGTTTTTTAGACAGCAAGCTAGCCGTTTTTTATAAACCAATAAAAAAAATTTAATTTAACTTTTTTAGCACAAAGATGGTTTTTTATTTTTGCGAGTTTTTGCACTAAAATGTATGTTGCCATAGAGCTGATGACCGAAGACCATGTTTACAAGGGGCAATTATAAAAAATGCCATGCTATGGAGGATGGGTGTGAGAATGATAACTAAAAAAAAAAAAAAAAAAAAAAAAAAGCAATGCAGTGAATCAAGTATATTGTATCATATATCATAAAATATACCTACCCTATTAATAGTATACCTGCAAGCGCGCAATTCGGTTTTTCTCTCAGGAAGTCGAGAGCTTTTGTTTTATCGCCTCGCCCCGTCGAGCGCCGAACCAACAAACTCACCGTAGGTATGTATATGTATGTATAAAGTGTAGATATATATATATATCGTATCGTATCGAAATCTCCGTGGCAAAGTCGTTCCTTTTGCTCCTCTGCCTTTTCCCTCTTATTCCCTATAGCGCGTGGCACTGACGCGGCTTTTCCACGGCGTCGCCGTACCTATACGTACGTTTACAGGGGCTCGGTTCCCGCGACCCGCGATTTCCTTCCTCAGCCGAGCGATGCTGAATTTAAGGTTTCCGTCGACATCGCCCCGCGGCCATAAATTTCCACCCAACAGCGAGAGACTTCCTCCCTCCGATTTTCTTTTTTTTCCCTTGTCTCCTTCCTCTCCCCACCTACACAGGTATACACTTTCCGCCTCCGTTTCCCGGCTTTTTTCTTTTTCTCCGCGCGTGACCCTTTTTCCCTCTCGCGGGGCACATCCCTCTTACTTCCACGCAAATTCGATTCACCCGGGCCCCAACTCCCCCTTTGGCGTTCAACTCCAAAGAGGAGGAATGAGAATTTAGTTTTTTTTTTTTTTTTTTTTTTTTACACCGCGTACCCATGTATACATATATTGCAGGAAGCCAATTGTAAATTGACTCGCCCCCAAAAGGGGTGTAGACCCCTGGAACAATTTTAAAGCACGTGAGGGCGATTAGCGGTGAATCGAGAGTCGTGCGTATGCTTTTGAATGAAAAATGGTTGTTTGCCTCAGTCACAATGCAAGCAAAAGATCGTCCCCGATGGCGTCGCTGGATGGAAAACAATCACGCGTACCTATGAAAAAAAAAAAAAAAAAAAAAAAAAAAAATTCTGATCAGTATTAAAGCGAATCTCGCTTATCAGATATATATTCACAGTATCCTCGTAAAAAATCGCAATTCATGTTGCGTGGAAAAGATAAAATTTACGAATATAGCCTAGTGCAGGCACGAACACAGAATATTTTTTGACTACAAATAACTTTTTTCAATCACATTAAAAGTCTTAAATATATACTTGTACTAGCGATTTATGCAAATCAATATCTTGCAATAATTATAAGAATTAAGATTTTAAAATTAAATTGTTCATGTGAAGCTTTTTGCTGTAAAATTGCAATGTGTTCGTGTCTATACTTTCAAGTATATAAATATATATAAAAAGCTTTTATTTGCGTCCACTAAATAAAAGCATTCCAAATATTTATAGAACTGCGCGTTCTGATGGCTGCCTGCTATAAGCTGGTCGTATATTGAATTTTTGAATATCAAAAATGATCGAAATAATAATAATAATCGCTTTCTTGGGTACATACAAGGTGTCTTATAAAGGCTTTTAGAAGCATAACGATTAGAATAGGTGTCGCGCTATTATCTTCATTTTATTTTTAATGTGTATAATTTGATTGGAATATTGCGTGAAAAAATTTAGGTCCGTTTGCTAGATTATCAGGAGACATTAAATATGTAGTTTTTTTTCCTTTTATCACGTTAGCAAAAACTCTAGCACCCCACACTCCCAAATGTTTAATTGATCCGTCTAGTTCCATTATTGTTTATTTAATGGTCAAAAACTACGTAAAGAATATTTTTCGATAATCTATTTAATGGGCAAAAAGAATGAAAAAAAATTTCTCCGTGCAATATCCTGATTGGAAGTAAACTTGATATTTGTCTGAAAAATGATATTTTTCCACCAATCTGTAGAATAGGGATTTAAAACAAGAGTACTCTATGACGTAGACAGTAAAACCACGTGGCATATCGATGTATAAATAATATAAATCTGTGAAGAGATGA